AAGAATAATCCTAGATCGGAAGGCACGGCAAAAGAACGAATAATGACCCTAGATCTGGTCGTTTTAAAGACTGTAGGCACGGCAGAAGAGCGAAGAATGACCCTAGATCTGGTCGTTTGACCCGGCTGAACATATCCGGGACAAGTCATCAACAGCATCCTGATAATTTCTTTGTCACCCAGATTGAGACTGTTCGTAATTTTGACCCAGAGTGAAAACGTCAAAGCTAACATTTCGCATTGCCTGTACCAATCAAGAACATGGTTATAGCGTCGTCCAGGACAGGATGATGATAATCACGACTCCCTAGCTGCAACACAGGTAGATTATCAATACGCAATGCCGCGTAGCTACGTCAGCAGAAGGACCCATCCAGGGAAGCCCGCTGAGGAAAGCTTCTTTGAGTTTTGTTTCTCTTTCAGGCAGGACAAGGCGCATTTGGACATGCCACAAATGGACTTCGTGACTAATTAAAACATAATTTCTGATTTAATGTGAGAAGGACCCTAAGTGCGATGGGAGATTCAGAAAATATCATCGGCTGGAGCTGTAGGATATGGCTTGAATTACCTCCCCTGACCGCCTACTCTCCTGACCAAGCACCTTTTGACAAGCTGAATGCTCTCGTCAAGGTCTTTTTTGGGTCCAAGATAAAAACTTCAGTTTGACAGGTTTAACAGAGATGGAGTTTCGCCGGATCAAGCGAATATAACTCGATGGCAATTATTATATTGACAAAATAATGTGTGATCATTATTTTATCCGCAACGATTTTCTGAACCTGGTAACTTGTCGATTTTCTTTCAAAACAAAAATTAGTTTGCCTTTCAGAGACTCGATTGTCAAAGAACGCGATCGTATAGCCTGGCTATTACAATCGCGGAACCTTCATTCTTTTTAAAACACCCATTCTTTGCCCTCTCCCACTCATTCACTTCCTCCTTCATTCCCTGAAATCAGAAAATTACACATAGTGAGCAGGGTATGAAACTCCCAAAAATTTCAGCCAGACCACAGGGCTGGGTAGATGAAAAACTTGCCAGCCCTGACCAAAACGGTTCACTCACATTGTGCCTACATGACATTCTGCCTACAGTCCTAAAAACATATAAGGAGTGTAGGCACACTGGCAATGGAAAGTGAACACATTCATCATCCCCATGTCTACATGGTCTGATCCAATTAAGTAACAGATAAAAAGAACAACATTCAGAGTGCATCATTTATTAAGATGATACTAATACCATCAAATATAGCATTATTTAAAGACACTTTTCATATCCATCATCTCTACACAAAATATAGTTCATTAAATACTAAGCTTGAAGAGGTGGCTTGCAGCATCAAGGAACTGTAGCTTGGTTTTGCGACCTTCTAACAAGTGGTTCATAAGTCTCTGCGTTTTCTGCGCACTGAAGCTGTACCAAGATCTAGTTGGGCTCTTTTCTTTCTGTAGCATCCTCAATGCTTTGTAGATGAGAGATGAATTCATAGTATTAGTATAGTATTACCAGACATACAATGGATGGCATAGAGTTGATTCCACAAACTTGGACAGGTGCAGAAAGTACCATCCATAAATAGAATAGAAGCCTATTGCATCACCTGCTGTTGTAAGGCGACCTTGACATTTAGAAATGATGCATTTCCAATGTGTGGCAGTTTGGCGACGGTTATTCAGACGACATCTGAAGTCTCCAAAGAGAACCTGCTGCCCTCCGGCCTGAGAGGTAATATACTCTATTCTCTGAAGCTCTGTCACTGACAGTTTATCTGAGAAACAGTATCTACTTCTATATATAAGGCTTTTCACTTTTTACTCTATTCTTAATCAACTAAGTAAAATAACATTCTTAAAACTACTGTGTATTTAGTCTATTCTTAATCAATGTCTGATTAGAGTCTATAGACAGAGTCTACTGTATATGTTTAGACTGGTTTCTGGACTGGTCTATTTGTCGTTATTGGGTGAGGAAGGGTGTTATTATTTGTCAAAGTGCGTACATATGCAGAACCTACAGAACGTAATATGTTGTGTTAAGACTGTAGACAGAATGGCATGTAGGCACATTGTGAGGACACCACCAAAACGTACCTGCCCGCAAATAATTTAGGTTTGACAAGCGACATAGTTTATCATCTAATTGGAATTCATCATGTTTATTTTACGAGTGAATTAAAAATGATTTATTATCCTGAAATATGATGAATATCTCTATGTACATGACTAAATTTTAACCCGGCCGTCGGGCAGGTGAACTTGAAAATCTTGCAGTCCGAAAATAACCCGTCCCGGACGGTCGGGCAGGCAGGTATTTCGGACGCTGTAGTGAGTGAGCGAGTGAGTTTAGTTTTACGCCGTTTTTAGAAACATTCCAGCAATATGCGAGGGACACCGAAAATGGGCCTCACACATTGTACCGATCTGGGGGAAGGGACAGCTTTAGCCACAGGGCCACCCCACCGCCACTTAATTAAGTATAGACCTTGCTGGTGGACTAACGCTCTGTCTCTGAATTATACTCATGGAAACGAATAAGTCCTTTATTGTTTTCTATGTGTCTTCACAAGGTATGTGGTGGTGGTGGAATTGGGTTTAACGTCCTGCTTGAGAATATTTCGCTCATATGACGACGTGCATGCGTGTGTATGTGTATGTGCGGCTGCTTGTACTAGCCCAGACTGAAGCTGGTTTTATAGTGCTAGCCCACTGAGATACCATGCCGCAGTGAAGCATGAATACCCCACTCAGACACATTATACTGACTCCGAGCCGACCAGTCCTTGTTGTACCCATTAATGCCGAGCGCCAGGCAGGGACCAACAAGTACCATATTTTAACGTCTTTTGGTATGACGCGGTCGGGGATCGAACCCGCGACCCACAAGGTATGTATTGCACCGGGAGTGAAATTCTGGAAATACATAAAGGAACACTTGTACTTTCAGGTGTTCCCTTATTCGTTTCTATGAGTATAATTCTGATACAAATAATTCTATTTAAACTGCGAAGAATCCCCGAAGAAGTTTAGGCTTGCTTCATCCAGGACTCCAGATAGGGATGTGCGGAAAGGAAAATAATGTGGTTCACGGACTGTGAGATAGACTGCCATGCGCGGAGAGTAAAATGGGTTAGTATGATGAACCTGTTCACTGGCTAATCATGGCGTTCTTTATCAGAAACATTCATCCAGTGTGATACCGCTCATTACAAACTTGTCACGGAACAACCAGATGTGATTAACTTGGCTGCCATTCTTGTCCAGCAATGCCTATCGCCATGCCATCAAGGAAGCAGCGCTGGGCGTACTTCATGACCCAGGTATCAAACGCTAGATGGCAAACGCCGGGTTAAGAAAGTGTTATTACTAATAGCAGATTACTGCGGATTGAATGTTATTGATTGGCCGTGGTGGCTGGGAGCCCCTGATTTGTTTGTGTGTTTGTTGTTTAACCACGCACTCAGCAAAATAATAGCTGTCTGCAAATAATCGAGTCTGGACCAGACAATCCAGTGAATATCGATCATCGCAAATGGGTTTCGATGATATGTGCCAACCAAGTCAGCGACCTTGACCACCGATCCCGTTAGTCGCGCTTACGTTGAAGACCAATTCTAACCCGCATCTTCAGGTTTTGAGAACGCCTGAAATTGTACTGTGTCGAATTCCTGTTTTCCCTTGGCCCCGTCAAACTACCCAATCTTAGCACCATGCCTGTCGTGTCCCCTGTCGTACACAGAGTTCCTGTATTTAAAAGCCCATGGGACTGTAATGAGTGATGTGAGACACAATGTTCTGTACTCTGCTGTTAGTCTATAACGGGCGGTGGAGTAGCCTAGTGGTTAAAGCGTTCGCTCGTCACGCCGAAGACCCGGTTTCGATTCCCGATATGAGTACAATGTGTGAAGCCCATTACTGATGTCCCCGCCGTGATATTGCTAAAAGCGACGTAAACATAACTCACTCACTCACTGTTAGTCTATAATTGTTTTAGTAAATTCAAAATTCCAAACACATATCAATATAGTACCTTCAACACCACTGCTTTAATTAGGTAGTATTAGATTCCTGAAAGCTAATTACCATCAAAAGACAGTGTTACGAACTTCTTGTGAATCTTTACAGAAACAAGGTAATACACTTTAGTTCCCCCCAAAAATGGTTTAAGGTATCTGTTCTTCCAACACATGAGACTATCACCACGCACACGCACAGACGGACACACACACACAATCAGCGATTCTTTTCACCTGCAGGAACTTGGGACAAACATTTAACCTGAGTTTGGGAGTTGGGAACCTAATGATTTACTTGTAACTGTCTATGAATGAGGGGTGATGGAGTAGCCTAGTAGTTAAGATGTTCGTTCGTTACGCCGAAGACCCGTGGAATATTGCTAAAAGCGGCGTAAAACTAAACTCACTCACTCTATTAATGTATATGATCATAGTTATCAAGACAATGCACCAATTTGATATTTGATCCACATAATGTGTTCTCAATGTGGAACAAGGACAATGCAGCGTTGTCTACTTCACCACGGAGCACTTACAACAAAAACATCCTCGCTATCGATCTGCGTCTACACCATCAGGTGCGCCCACCAACACCCCGAGGGAAACAACTCTGCGACTTCTTCAACCTTTGATCACTTGTGTGGTCGTGTGATCCATCACCTAGTCAGAAATGGATCTAACAATGACACACTCACTTTAAAACTGTTTTAAGGCACTTTTATTGCAATGCATCAATGTGTTTGACAATGGAATGGTTGGCATCGCGATTCCTGTAACGTTATAGGAGGAACTACAAGACTCTGATCGATATGGTAAATCATGGAACCAACCACGGCTGATGATCAGGACGCCGGGTTGTGGTGAACTGATGCTATCTAGTTGGTCGCGCTGAACCCTTGGTAGTGGAAACGTAAATGGTAGAGAAAATTGCCGGCGATCATTACAGCTATTACCTGTAATTAAGTTGACAGGTGAGATTGTCACGCTGTAGTCTCACCTGAGAAAACAAAACGCGGTCGGTTACTGTCATTGTGTTGTTTCTAAGGGAGAAGGCACATGGTGGAACAGGTAAGGTAAACTTTTAAATTTGTATTTAGTAATGTGATGAACTATTTTAACATTTTATTAAATACGCAAAATTTTAACACACGATAATCACTCAAAATGTTTTGTGTCATATCCTTGAGCTGCAGTGACATTTACATACGTGTACGTTTGTCATTTCGAGTAGAGAGGACTGGTGTACCGGGAGATCACCAATAGTTTGGACGAGTCGAGAGAACAGCGTATCCTGTCATCAAAATGACCGATTACTTATCTTTCAAACCTTTAAATCAACTCATTTTAAATAAAGTCAACAGTGCGAAGTTTAAAAAAAACTAACGGGCAATGCCAAGTCGAAATCATTGATATTACAAAAAGATAAATCACCATTGTGAAAAGGAAAGTGAATTTTAATAACAGGTGTATGGGCAACATGCATGTGCAAGTTTTGTAATATCAGTGATTTTAACTTGGTAACGTTTCTTTTGCCCGTTAGTTTATTATATATGTTTAAGGCGGAATTGTAAATGCCGTTGTTAAATAATATCTGTGAAAGGTATGATAACATCATTATAAAGTTTCAATCTGCGAGGAATTGTAATAAGATACAATATGTCACATTTACGAATATTTGTAATCATACCATTGTAAGATGTAATAATCAGAAAAGAATTGTCGTTAGAACTTAAAATGTGATAATCTCGGGAAAAGCTGTAATACAATCTTTGTAAAATGTAGGAGCGGCAATAACAACTTTCATACAATGTTATAATCTGCGAAGAATTGTAATATAGACCTTTAAAATGTTTTTATCTGGGAAGATGATAAATAAAATATACATATAAAAAGTTGTCAAATGATTCAATCTCCGAAGAGTTTTATATAATAACAATTTTGTGAAATGTTAATTTTGAGAAGAATTGTAATACTATCATTGTAAATGTTTACAAACTGAAGAATTTGTAATAATATCACAGTAAACATATTAATCTGCAAAGAATTGCTGTAAAGACATTCTTAATTGTAACATGCTCCAGTAGGTTGTAATAACACTGTTCCGTAATGTAGTCCCCGTCAATATGGTCAATATTGTTGTATGACATACGCTTGATTGTCATAATCTTGGCATCTCCAAATATTCTAAGAAAGGCGAAGTAAACTTGGGTTTAACGTCGTACTTAAGAATATTCCGCTCATATAAGGACGTGCATGCGTGTGTATGTGTGGCTGTTTGTACAAGCCCAGACTTAAGCTGTTTTTTATAGTGCATGGTCACTGAGATACTATGCCGCAGTTAAGCATGAATACCCCATACATCATATTGACTCCGATCCAGCCTGTCCTTGCTGTACCCATTGATGCCGAGAGCCAAACAGTGACCAACGCGGCCGGGGATCGAACCCGCGACCTTCCGCTCTCCGGCCGGACGCTCTAACCACTACACCATTGAGGCGGTCCTCCTCAGAAAGAAAGCTATGAAAGCAGAACACCAGTGCATAAGTGTTATGAACAAAGGAATAACAGGTGTGTTGATGTAAAACAAACACCTCGTACAAAGAAACTTTATAATTGTCACTTTATTTTATTTCGTGCGCGTAATTATAGACAATGAATACCTTTCTACGATGTGAAAATGTTTTACATGTTTATATCTAAAATGTTTAGGAATGTGTCTAAATCCCAAACGGAATACACATTTACAGACGCAATGAAGTATCGTTTTCCATCTATTCACAAAATACCCATAATATACAAATATTTATACGTGCCTGATATTGTCAGTATTATCATAATAGTCTAAACACGCTTAAAATCTAAACATATATAAATAAATGCATTTCATTTGGCATTGAGTCAGCCATGTATAGGATGTATAACATATGTTTAATCATGTATTCATCAATTGAACTTAGATCCGCAAATCACATTTACAGGCCCTTGCCTAACCTACATTCTATCATCGTTTCCAATGAACTTGGGTTAGGGTTTTTCGTACATCTCGACCGTAAACACGTTTAGATGTTAAGCCCAACCCTAAACGTGTCTTGGTCGAAATGCGTCAAAATTATAGGACAAGGGACGTGGTTAGATTTGTTGATCTAAACAGGGTCTTTTCAGTGTTGCGCATAATCCCAGTTACAAGTGGATGGGTAAGAGTTCCGCCGGTAAGCCCCGCTTGAAATGCATTCTACTTGTTGTAATTATTTATAGGGGTTAGGGTTTAGGGGTTTAGATTCAGCATTATGTTAGGTTAAGGGTTAGGGTAGGCTTTTTATAAAAAACCATCTATTTTTAGGCATAGAATTTTAAAAAAACCCGGGGGTTATGGGCGGAAAACTTTCCATTGGAGTGAAGGAGTTAGTTTAGTTTTACGCCGCACGGTCTGTAAATACTCGGGTCTTGACCTGACAATCCAGTGATCAACAGCATGAGCATCGATCTGCGCTTGGGAACCGAAGACATGTGTCAACCAAGTCAGCGAGCCTGACCACCCGATCCCGTTAGTCGCCTCTTACGACAAACATGGGTTACTGAAGATCAATTCTAACCCGGATCTTCACGCATCTTTCCAGTGGATGCTCTGAGTAGCGGGGCGGTGGGGTAGCCTAGTGGTTAAAGCGTTGGCTCGTCACGCCGAAGACCCGGGTTCGATTCCCCACATGGGTACAATGTGTGAAGCCCATTTCAGGTGTCCCCCGCCGTGATGATGCTGGAATATTGCTAAAAGCGGCGTAAAACTAAACTCAGTCAGTCAGTCAGTCTGCGTAGCGCTTCATAGCCAATAATATTTAGCGTGATATGAAAGAACAGTTCATGACTGGCAGTAGTATTTATGTAACAGCGGCTCTCTGACAAGGGAGTACTTGTTGGGTTCCAGGGATTTATTGGAAAGGAATAGTAGTCAAGATCTGCCCTAAAACATACATAATTCAGTCGTAAACATCATGGAAATAGGCAGTACACAGACACACGATAACAATATTCCTTATAATACTTTTAAGATTTACAGATCATTTCTATATAAGCTTTAAGAAATTCCTTTAGATCAAACATATTACACTTTATATTCACGCATATGCAATTAAACATAAACAGATTACCTCGTCTCAGGGACGCAGGCGTGAATATATATAAATATATAATAGTTACAGTTATGTTAGGGCGGTGGGGTAGCCTAGTGGTTAAAGCGTTGGCTCGTCACGCCGAAGACCCGGGTTCGATTCCCCACATGGGTACAATGTGTGAAGCCCATTTCAGGTGTCCCCCGCCGTGATGATGCTGGAATATTGCTAAAAGCGGCGTAAAACTAAACTCAGTCAGTCAGTCAGTCTGAGTAGCGCTTCATAGCCAATAATATTTAGCGTGATATGAAAGAACAGTTCATGACTGGCAGTAGTATTTATGTAACAGCGGCTCTCTGACAAGGGAGTACTTGTTGGGTTCCAGGGATTTATTGGAAAGGAATAGTAGTCAAGATCTGCCCTAAAACATACATAATTCAGTCGTAAACATCATGGAAATAGGCAGTACACAGACACACGATAACAATATTCCTTATAATACTTTTAAGATTTACAGATCATTTCTATATAAGCTTTAAGAAATTCCTTTAGATCAAACATATTACACTTTATATTCACGCATATGCAATTAAACATAAACAGATTACCTCGTCTCAGGGACGCAGGCGTGAATGCCTCTGAGATGTACAGTGATTAGCCCTGCCAAAATAGATATACTATATATAAATATATAATAGTTACAGTTATGTTAGGGCGGTGGGGTAGCCTAGTGGTTAAAGCGTTCGCTCGTCACGCCGAAAACCCGGGTTCGATTCACCACATGGGTACACCACACCGTGATATTGCTGGAATATTGCTAAAAGCGGCTTAAAACCCAACTCACTCACTACATTTATGTTAGCGTGTACACAATACATGCATTATACATTTCCTAAATACTATACATTCATACTACATAGGATATTTCCTATCCATTTATATATACAAAATGTATATATATATTCTATAATGTACCTTGGCGTATACCTGTCAAATACACAAGTAAAAAGTTTAATAAGACTACATTACAATATAATAATGCAATGCTAGCTAAAATACTACACTCTCTCAAAAAAGAAACGCAACCCCTATCTAAATATCTGACATCATTTCTAGAATAAAGATGGTGAATGTAAATTAGAATTTTCTTCAAAATACTGTTAATACGTTCCCATCTGATCAGTATAAGCTCCCAAACGGAACCATTTTCACACATGATGACCTTTGTATCCGTGTTATTTGAGAAAGTGCGAAATTGTCATGTACAAAATGCTAAAAGCCTGTTGCACGTGCAAATCGTTGAAAACACAGTTCATGTAGAGGGTTTTAAAAGCACGCGTAGTTTGTAATTTTTCTCTCATAATTTGCTCTGCAAATCAAGTTCGAAAATGCCCCGTTTGAGTACAGCAAATCGAAATATTGCCATTGGTCGCATTGAGGCCGGGGAAAGCTTTGGAACAGTTGCCCGTCATCTAAACGTACACAAAACAACAATCTCACGACTTTGGAATCGTTACACACAGTTCCATGCAATTGAAGATCGTCCCAGGAGCGGTAGACCTAGGATCACCACACCGGCTCAGGATCGCTTTATTCGACTCAGCCACCTACGTAATCGGCATGCCACACCCACCATCACTGCAACACAGGTGCCAGGTTTGAGGAGAGTATCGGCCCAAACCATCAGGAACCGTTTACGTGCAAGAAGACCAGTTGTTGGGCCCGTCTTGAAACGCCAACATCGACGCCAACGTCTCAGGTGGTGTACTAACGTAAGGAGATGGACCCTAAGAAACTGGAGAAGAGTCTGGTTTAGTGACGAGTCTCGTTTTCTTCTTCAACGACGTGACGGTAGACAACGTGTCTATAGACGAGCAAATGAACGTTTTGCACCGAACTGCGTTCGACAGGTCGACAGATTTGGAGGAGGAAGCATCATGGTATGGGGAGCCATGTCTTACA